GTCCCTACTAAGAAGGTTGCCAAAACACCTCACGAGATGTGGACAGGGAAAGCTCCCTCGTTAGCACATATCAAGGTTTAGGGTTGCGAGGCTTTCGTAGGACGAGATACTCACGACAAACTCGAACCTCGTAGTGAGCGATGTATTTTCATCGGCTACCTGCAGAAATCCTTTGGATATCTCTTCTATAGACCGAAGGACAATGTTGTCTTCGTTGCGAGGAGAGGAGTTCTCTGAGAATGAGAACTCATAATCTAAGGAGACAGTGGGAGGAAAATCGAGCTTGAAGAGATTCAAGAGTCGATAGATGAAGGAACCTCTACCGCTGGCACTCAACCCGAGGAGGAAACTCCGGTTGAACCAATTGATGAGTCCTTACCTCTTAGACGTTCCAAAAGAGTTAGAGTTTAACCCCAGTTTTATGGTTTTCATATTACTACCGAAGGGTACACGTATATTAGTGATGATACACTAATAAATCTAGATGAACCTAATAGTTATAAGGAAGCCATGGCAGGCCCAGAGTCTGTGAAGTGGAAAGAGGCAATGGACAGCGAGATCCAATCCATGTATGACAACCAAGTTTGGAATTTGGTTGATTATGTGCCCGGACGTAAGACTGTTGGGTGCAAATGGATCTTCAAGAAGAAGACCGACGTGGATGGAAACGTACACACATATAAAGCGCGATTAGTTGTGAAGGGTTTTACTCAAACTCCCGGAGTTGACTATGATGAAACCTTCTCGCCGGTTGCGAGGATAAAATCTATTAGAGTGATGCTAGCAATTGCCGCATTTCATGATTATGAGATTTGGAAAATGGATGTCAAAACCGCTTTCCTTAATGGGAAGTTGGCTGAGGATGTTTACATGGCTCAGCCAGAGGGTTTTGTCAATCCGAAGCATCCTAATAGGGTGTGTAAGCTTGAGAAGTCCATTTATGGACTTAAGCAAGCATCTCGCAGATGGAATCTTTGCTTCGATGAGAAAGTCAAAGAGTTTGGATTTGTACGAAGTGAAGATGAATCTTGTGTATATGTTAAAGCCAGTGGGAGTATAGTTAGTTTTCTCGTTTTGTATGTCGATGACATATTGCTCATAGGAAACAACATCCCGACACTGCAGGAGATTAAGTCCTGGCTCGGGAAGTGCTTTGCTATGATGGACCTCGGAGAGGCTTCCTATATTTTGGGAATAAGGATAGTGAGGGAACGAAGTAAGAGACTAATAGGACTTAGTCAGAACACTTACTTAGATAAGGTACTAAAATGTTTTAGTATGGAAAACTCGAAGAAGGTAGAATTACTGATACAATATAATGCCAAGTTGAGTAAGACTCAAAGTCCGAGTACCGAAGCCGAAATAGCAGAAATGAGCCGAGTACCATACGCTTCCGCAGTTGGCTCAATCATGTATGCTATGACTTGTACTCGCCCTGATGTAGCCTTTGCTTTGAGCATAGTTAGTAGATATCAAGGGAATCCTGGCAGAGCCCATTGGATTGCAGTGAAAAATATCCTTAAGTACCTTCGGAGGACCAAGGAATGGTTTTTAGTCCTCGGAGGGAGTGATGACTTGAAGGTGCGAGGGTATAGTGACGCCAGCTTTCAGACCAATAGGGACAACTACCGTTCACAGTCGGGCTGGGTCTTTACCCAGAATGGAGGAGCAGTAACTTGGAAAAGTTCCAAACAAGAAACCGTAGCTGATTCAACGTGCGAATCAGAGTACATCGCAGCGAGCGAAGCATCGAAAGAGGCAATATGGTTGAAGAACTTCATTGGTGATCTTGGAGTTGTACCTACCATAAAGGAGGCCATGGAGATTTTTTGTGATAATGAAGGAGCGGTTGCCTTGACCAAGGAACCAAGGGATCATGGTAGATCTCAACATATAGACAGAAAATATCATTTTACAAGACATCGTGTGGAAGAAGGAAAACTCGTGGTGAAGAGGATATCATCAGAAGATAACCCAGCAGATCCGCTTACGAAGGGACTGAGCAGGGTTAAACACTTGCAGCATGCTAGGAACATTGGGCTGAAGGATGATATTAGTATAAATTAGATAGTTTTAGAAACGTATAATAGATAAATGTAATTAACATTTGATGATTAAATAAAAGAGTATTATTTATAAGTAAATTTACTATCTTATGTTAATCATTTAAATATTGTTTCACTTTGCATGTTTTGACTTCCAGAATAATTGAATTTATTAAGAATAATCAAATTATTCAAATGTCCACAATCGTTCATATGTTGGAAGTAGGTATGAATGAAGATTGTCATGAATTGGCGTGTAGATTGTCTAAGTGGTATTAGACATAGCAAAAGTTTGCTGCAACGTTCATGAGTGCTTATGAACTAGTTTTGAGCATTGGAACAAACCCGCGCTTGCTGGAATCATCTTATGGAATGTGACAAAAGGGTGATCGCAAGACGATAATATCATATGGTCTTAAAACCTAGATATATGGTTTGTTATTTGTTAATTGGTTGTACATTGATGATGCGAAACCGCATCAGTAACTTGATGCTATAAAACGCATTGTTGTGTATAGTTGGTTAATGAATAAGTAAATGCATATAAGTCGAAGTTTATCTGTTACTTTTATCCTAAGAAGATAAAAGCGATATGTCGGCCGCTCGATGATTTGATTTGACTTATGTGTCGGGCCCGGTCAGAAATAAATTGATGTGTTCGATTAAGTTCTATGTCAAATAAATCCGAGATCAAGAAACCAAATGCTAGACATCGGTTCCATATAAATGTCAGCATGATATCTATATAGAGGACTATACGATCCCTTATCTAAAGGACAAGATTGATTAGATCAAAGTTTGAAAGCGTCTTTGAGAGCTACGATTGCTAATCGGTGTATATAGTTACTAGACTTAACCAAGTGGGAGACTGTTGGAATATTGTCTAAGGCTGCAACTATATTAAGCAAGTAATTGACCCGATTGATCATGGTCCTTTTGGGTTGCCTTCACCATAGCAACTTGATAGGATGATTTACAATGAGAGTTGAATTATTATAAGGTATAATAATATTATTATTTGATTAATATAAGCCATAAATTAATTATGAATTAATTTGGTGACTTAAAGAGATTAATTAAATGGAAGGACTTAAACTGTCAAATGTGTGATAGTTATACCTTAGGCTATAATTCCTTGTGGATAATAAGATGGACGATTTTATAGCTTAGGATTAACCTAAAATCCATCCAAAGGGATATCAAGAAGGGATTAGGATTTCTTTGGGCTTAAGTTATCCAATTACGGTTTAAGGGTGAAACCCTAGGAGCCTTACAAGTATAAATAGACCCTTGGGGTCTTGGAAATCGGCACTTCTTGTTCCTAGGGAAACCCTAGCCGATTTCTAAATCCTTCCCACTCTCTCAAATCATCCTCTTGCTAGTTGGTGTTTGTAAGCCGTTAGAGGAGTGACAATTGTGACTCTAAAGCTCTAAGAACAAGAAGATCAAACAAGTGATTCAAGGTAAACTTATAACTATGATTCCTCTTTGTTATTATGATAGAATAACCACTAGAAATCTTGGATTCATGCATGTTCAATTAGAGAAACCTAGATCCAAGCATTAGGGTTTTGTATGTGCACATAGGAATGTTCATATGGCTAAAACCCATCAATAGTTGCATATCATTATGACTTAATTGGAACCAATGTGTTGTGAGGTATGTAGAAGATGTTCCCGAAATGCAACTCTTAAGAATATGACATGTTCCTAAAAGAAACTATTGTAGGTTCGTACAAAAGAAAAATAATAAGTGTTTGTATAATGTAGCACTTTCCCTTTTTAACTTAACCTTTAGTTTTTCCATTTGACCCATGAATTTATGAGATATGGAACATTGTGTCTTATTTTTAAATGTTGAGGTTTGCTCGAAAATAGCCTCCTTACTATCCTCCCCTATCCAGAAACCCTAGACACATGTATTACCTTGCAAGTTTGAGTGTGTGAGCTTGGAAACTTGATTTTTGGTGATTCCTTGGAACGCGCTTTGAAGTTGGAAGTACCTAGCTTGGAAGGAGGACATTGGATCCAAAACCTCTTCTCCAATTGCTGTCTTTTTGAGGTATAAAGTCGACATCTTGCTTTATTATGATCTAGATCTCTTTATTGGAAGTTTTAGCATGATTTTGGGATTTTGGTTGGGCTAGCCAAGATGTTGAAGGTTCTAGGGGTTATTATGTTAATCTAACCCCTTCATGACTTCTTATGGCTGAAAGTTGCAAACTTTATTAGTTCCAAGCCCCGTTCAAGCAACAAGTTCTTCATTAAGTCCTTATTAAGCTCTAGAGTGTATTTCTAGCTTGCATGGACGTAAAGTTGAAAACTTTACATGATTATCTGACCTTTGGACTCTAGAGTTATGTTTTGGAACTATATTGGGAGAGTTCAAGGGCTTAATGGATTAAGAATCTCTCTAAAGAGCCTAGGGCTTGGGTTTGCTTCTTATTGGATGGTTCCTCCAACTTTACCCTTCTAGACATCATCTTGGATTAGACCTGAGATTTGGAGTCCCCATATTCAATTGTATCAGCTTAATGCTTTAAGAGGTTGGATTTCTGGCCAACTCAACGAGTTCATTAGTGAACTCGATGAGTTGATGGGATTTTTCCCGATCTGTTCAGAAGATGGAGAAACTCGACGAGTTGAGGGATAACTCGGGGAGTTGGGTCAACTCAGGCTGTTGACTTTGACTTTTGAGCTTAGTCCTTGACTAAGTTTGATCTTTAAAAGGTTTTGGACGTTTTGAGTTGTATTTAAGGAATTGTTTATGTTATAGGGTTTGTGTAGATCAGATATTTGGAGCCTCGATCTAGTGAGCTACCGTTCAGTATTGAGGTGAGTCTTCTCACCACACTCATGGGTCGAAGGCACCAAGGTCGACCCATTATGCGATGATTAGTATTGAAATGTGTAATGGTTTGCTATTTGATCTATATATGGGCTTATATGAAGACCATGGGAAAAGCCCATGGTACGGGATATAAGACCATGGGGGTAGCTCATGGCATTCCATTGAAGACCATGGAGGGAGTCCATGGCAAACTTGTATGTATATGTATGAGCATAACACTATGTGATTATATGGTTTGCGTGATTGGGAAACTCATTGAGCTTGTGCTTACAGTTTTATTGAATGTTTCAGGTACTTTTATTGATAAGGGCAAGGGCCCGGCTTGATTACGTCACGTGCATTCTCTAGTGTTTTCACATTTAGCTTTTTGTACTCTGAATTCACAAATAATATGGATATGTATTGGAATTTTTGTACTTCCTATGGATAATGTTTATAATGTATATTTAAAAAATAGGGAAAATTGCATTTATATCCATGTAAATTTTGAATATTACTTCAATATCCTTATAAACTTTAAAATTCCGTCTATATCCCTCTAAAAGTATTAAAATTACATTAATATCCACATCGTATTTAATTAGGACTATATCAATTTTTTATTAATTGGTTAATCTAATATTTTAAATTAGAGAAAATTAAAAATATAGCCTAATACTTTGTGGAAAATAGCCAAAAAAATTCAAATTACAAAAACAACCACCAAAATCGCAAATGCACTTTGTTCATATGTGATTTTACTTATTCATATGTGATTTTGCATCTATCTATGATTTCCTCTTTTTCAGGAGTATAAAAACGTAAATTTTTTTCTTTAATGTCGTAGTTAAAAAAACACACACACACACAAAATTGCCCGTGGGATAAGAAAAAATCGTAGATGAACTTGGTTCGTTTGTGATTTTAGTTAGAGATGGGGGTATTTGTGTGGAAAAAATCATAAAAACTAAAAAAAATAATTACTTGTGAACGTACAAGTTGCTAAAGTATGGTTGTGTTTTAGCAACTTGTATGTTTAGAGCCATTTTACTTGAGCTTGATCCATGTGATTTTGGTGGTTAAAAAAAAATTTGGGTTTTGTTTTCTTTTTTGTTTTTTTTATTTTTTTGTTTTTTTTATTTTTATTATTATTATTATTATTATTATTATTATTATTATTTCCACAATAATTAAAATATTCAGCTAAATTTGTAATTTTCTCAAAAAAAAAAAAAAAATTCTATATTCGTTTACCAAAATACCGTTTCTTTATCTCTTCAATTGGTTGAACCCTACTTCAATATATCTTCTATTACGAAACTTAAGTTTTCGTACTTTCTGTAGAGGCTGCCGGATAGATCAATAGAACTGTGGTGATTCTTTTTTTGTTCACATCACCAAAGGCATGAACAATTCCGTGCAGCGAAGGCTTCAAAACATGAAGATGGAGTTGATTTGATCAGCAACTTGCCAGATCCTCTTCTTCTTCTAATTCTCTCGGGCCTTCCATCTACCGAAGAACAAATCCGAACAAGCATTTTGTCCAGACGATGGAGGTATTTGTGGACATCAGTTCCTTCTCTAGACTTAAAACCCTTAGCAAAATTGCGAAAGAGCAAATTCAAAGAATTTGTTTATTAGGTTTTGTTAAACAGATCCGTGGATTTGCATTGTTTTCGTTTATCTGGTTGGGATTCCTACAGAACATCGACAGTAGAGCGGTGGATTCACGCCACCGTTATGAAAAACGTCAAACAACTTGACTTGAGTTTTGGGCCCAAAGAGAAGTACTTTGAGGATATGGTGATACCCCATTCTCTTATGACTTGCACTTCGTTGGAGGTATTAAGGTTGTCTTGTAGACATCGTGTAATCCTGCCTAGAATTTCTGGGTTTCCTGCACTTAGGGTTCTTAAGTTGGAAAATGTTGAGTTATTTGACAATGATTTAGTGAAATATTTTTTTCTTGAAAGCTGCCCATTGCTGGAGGATTTGACGTTGTATGAATGCGTGGTAGACAAACTTGATCTTGTTTGTATTTCATGTCCAAACCTCAAGAAGCTGACACTTCTTAACTGGTGTAAGTACTACTTGTGTAGTTCTCTTAAGCTTTCATGCCCAAAACTGGTGTATCTGGATTTAAAAGGTGAAGTAGCTTCAACTTATATCTTTGAATGTCTATACTCATTGAAGGAAGCTGTACTTTATCCCGAGATCGACGCCGTATTTGATAAGCTGTTTCATGAATTTTCTCATTTGGAATCTTTTACTACTAACCTTGACTACTTGCCCGAGGTAAATGTTTATTCTCTTCATGAACATATTGTTATTTCAGCTAATGTAGAAAGAACGAGTTAATAGAGGAAATAATGGATCAAAATCTATAGCATCACAGTAAGGGCTGAATATGTAGTTTTTAGATCGAAAACTACATATTTTGCAGTTTTTACCAGACAAATGGAGTGAATGGCTGATATATAGAGGTTTCTCGATCGATGTTTTTTGCTTTCCAAAATTTGTATTTAAATTGTATATACTCCTGAGTCCTGATTAAATTGCATCATTACTTGTTTATCATGAAATCTTTATCAATTGTGTACCCATATGCCTATTTGTTACCATGATTAATAACTCTACTTGCTATCATTATTATAGTGGATTGATGATGCACATGATGTCGCTCTACAAAATCTGAAGACTTTGGAGCTACACTCATTAATCGATGAATTTACTGCTGAACGACTCATCCAAGCCCTCGAATATTGTCCTGAACTGGAGTCCCTCAGTTTAACCTTTGAAAATGTCATCTCATGTGATCCAATGGTATTTTTATTTTATGCATCACATTCCTGAAAGCATGCACTACAAGAATAACAGACAATAGCGGCGACACCTTTAGCAGCGACAGTCACTTTTAGCAGCGACATCAAACAAACGCGTTTTTGTCGCCGCTAAAAGTGCCCGTCGCCGCTAAAGGTGTGGCCGCTAAAGGCTTATGTTGGCGATCCGCGTCATTTCAACCCTAACCGTTGATTTAGATGATGATCCAACGACTAGGAGGACATAGAAAACCCCGCGTTATTCTCCCTCCGGTGTGTCGCTGCTAAAGGCGTCGCCGCTATTGCCTGTTCTGGCGATCCGCGTCATTTCAACCCCATCCGTCGATTTAAGCAACGATCCAACGATGTAGGAAACCCCAGATAGTTTTCCCTCCGATGTGTCGCCGCTAAAGGCATCGCCGCTAAAGAGCATCGACAATAAAATCAGCTTCGTCTTCACTTTCTTCCCTGATCTACTTCTGTGTTTTCCCTCTTCCTCTCCATTTCCCATCTTCTTGCCAGAGTATACCGCCACCACCACTGTTCATGACGAAAATTTGATATTTTAGATGTGTATTTGTATGTGTATTTTGTTTGTAGATGTGGATATGTATTTGTATTTGCATTTGTATGTATATGTGTATTTTGAGTGTATTTTTATTTATATATATGTGTTTTTGTATGATCATTTATATGTATATGTCTATTTTGTATGTAAATTATGTATGTGTATGTGTATGTGTTTTTGTATGTATATGGGTATTTTGTATGTGTATTATGTATGTATGTGTATTTGTATGTATACAAATACATATAAATAGCGGCGATAGATAGTATTAGCAGCGAGGCGTCTTTAGTGGCGACAGAAGGCAATAGCGGCGACCAAAGAAGTATTAGCGACAAAGCAATAGCAACGACCCTTTAGCGGCGACATGTCGCCGCTAAAGGTATTAGCGGCGACATTTTCGACCTTTAGCGGCGACGCCCATCGCTGGTAATACTTTAATTTCTTGTAGTGATGGTGTCTCACTTTCACAATTTTCTTGGTTGCAAGCATGGTGTATTGTGCATATCTAATTCCTGACATAAGCATATAGAGGGAGAAATTCGGTCTATTTACCTATAAACGGGTTATATTTTATCAAATGAGTATAATAAAAAGAAACACTAAAATAGCAACAAGTCAAATAGGCTGAACGAATTGAAGCTGCAAAACTCTATTCAAATGTTTATTAAAAAAATAACTTCTAATCTTAACAATATATAACATATATGTGTTGAAAGTTTAAACTAAAGAAATAGGCTTCTTTTATAAAACACCTCAGAGAAAGTTTAGACTGAATTATCACGAACCCTAGACACAATCTCAAAGATTTGAATTTTGGACCTTTACATTATATATACACACACAAAAAAAAAAGAAGCAATTCACCTCGATAAATGCATTTTTCAAGATTTCAAAAATCAATTTGGATTTTCCCCCTTTAACATGAAGTAAAAATACTTATGCCTTTTTTGGATGAACCAGGAACCCCCGAAGTTGGATGATGCTGCAACAAGGAGGATCTTGCCTCCTGATGTGAAATGGCTCGAATTTTTTGCATTCAAAGGAGAAAAGCTGAAACTAGTTTTAATGTATGAAAATGGATATGGATGGATGGATTTAGTTGCGAGGTGGGGTAAACAAGCCAGTTAATTGTCAAAGTGACTACTTTAATTTACTATTTAGAAACACGGATGTTACAACACAAGCTTTATGGTAAACTATCAGAAGTAGTAGATACCTGTTCATGTGATCAAGTATCTAAATTTTGAGTTTTTGTTGCTGATTCTTTATCAACTATTACTAGAAAATAATTGTTTGGTTCTACAGTTTTGTTCATATTCTTTCTGCTATAAAAACTACAACAATTATGTACGTATCAGATTGTTATTTTGCCACAAAAACAGCAATTGCAACATCAGTATGTTAAACCAACTGCCTCATTTGCACCACGACATAAATAAAATAGAGTTTAGGACTTCAGGGCATATAGAGCAAAAGTGAACTACTGATATATGTATAGCAGGACAGATATGTATGCATGTACGAATGTATTATAGATATTTTATATGTATGATAGAAAGGTGAAGATTAAGACAATTAGTCTAGAGAATCATACATACTTGATACTTGTGAGCTTTTTGTAAACAAAAAATTGACCTTGCATTGTTTGCCTATGTGAAGAAACAATATTAAGCATTTACGCTAACAAGAGCAGTGGCCATGGAGGACAAAAGGTGACATTAATTGAAGGTGATGGTTAAAAAATTCGTCCCAAAAATCTGATTTTAACAATTGAGTGAACATATAAGCTTCATTTGATTGGGTTGACAGTCTAAAACTGGAATTCTCCATCAATTCTCAGGGTTTACACGTTTAGACCGTCTTGCAAGTTGTAACATCCGGCATTTAAGGATGATGTATAAAGTAGGTGAGAAATTAAGTATTATAAATAAGTGAACAAAAGAAGAATTTTGAAGAGTAAATGGGGAGTTTTAGCGAAAATCTTAGTACCATGCTATTTTTAGAGAAAAAAAGTGTTTTATTTTTTTATAGGGATAAAGTGTGTTAGCGAAATCTGAGGTAGGGAGGGAGGTCGTTAAAGAATATATGATATTAGTGAGGAGCAAAGAAAATGCAAGCCACTAGGATGATTTTGTAATCTACTTTAAAAAAGGAATATTTTGTTTGCATTGTACAACGTTACGACACGGCTGTTTTAATTTTTAACTTTGCTCCATGTATGTATTATAGAATGAACTTTATGTTGTATTTTACGTTTTTCTTTCAATGATATTTTCATTTATAAAAATATGTAAAATGAAAATAAATATTCTTTCTACAAAAATCAATAACAGGAATTTGTTAAGAGATCGAATATAATAATATTAATTGAAAAAAAAAAACGTAATTGTATAACTTATAGTTTTACCATGTTTTATAACTATATAAATAATCGATAACATAAACTAAATCATCAAATCATTGATGAATAACAAATTAATCTTTTTTTTTATAATTTATTTTTAGTTTGTATTTTATATGCAACCCAATAAGTCTATGTATTTATTAGTAGTGTTACAAACTTGTTGTACCGGCAGGCTTATCTCCATTAGACTTCGACTTTCACATGGAATATTCACTACAAGAAAAAGTTAAAATAACTATGAAATTTTACTATGGAAGTAAAATTTGTAGTTATTATGCTATGGAATATGCTACATAATGGGTTGTCATAGCTATTTTGTTATGGAATTTTCTATATAATTGCATTTCGTAGCTAATTTTTGAATAGTAGCTAATTTTTGAATAGTTACGGAATTTTGCTACGTAACTATGGACTATGCAACAGAGTAGTTAGACGTAGTTGTATTTGCTAAAGAATTAGCAACAAAATTACTTTCCGTAGCTAATATTTGAAGAAATATGGAATTTTGCTATGTAATCGGAGTCCGTAGTTATCATGCTACAAAATTTGCTAGAGAATTATAGGTTGAAGGTATTTTGCTACAAATTTACTATAGATCAAAGTTTGTAGTTATTTTCCTAAAATATTGTTACGAAATCAAAATTTGTAGCTATTATGCTACAAAATAGCTGTACTTGTTTATTATACCATCATAGTTTCATTTCCTATTATTATAGCATTTTACTTTAATAATTTTAGGGATAATATTATAAAAACCCAACATATTTTCATTAAATCTTAAAAAAAAAACCCACTATATTATTTTTTTGTATGTTAAAACCCTTATATTTTTTAAAACGTATCATTTAAGACACTGAGCTCGGTAAATCCTAAATAACCAAAAATGTTAGGTAATCGATTCTCAACGTTTCTAATGTTACAATTCATTAGATTAAAAAAATAAGGGTTTAAATGCACTAAAAAATAATATAATTGTTTTTTCAATCCTCTCATGAAAATAGATTAGGTTTTTCTAAGTTCAGAAAACCATAAATAAAAATTTTAGAAAATATAAGGGTTTTAGTGTACTAAAAAATAATATAATTGTTTTTTTAAGCATTAGGTGAAAATATGTTGGGGTTTTTCTAAGGTTTTCCGATAAGTTTACTTGATTATAACATTGTAAACTATATGCATATATAGTACAAAGCATTTTATAAAACGCTCCAACCTTTACTCATGTGTCGCATGAAAGGGAAGGAGAAAAAGGGCACATAGTGATTCTTCATCTACTCAGTGTTGTTTTTTCCTACCATGGGTATTTAAGTCTTTTTAGCTTTTCTTTCGGTCCTACAATCCTTTTGGTGGAAACTTTTGTTTGTGGAACAAAAAATATGGTCCCTGTTACGGTACGCTTTTGTCTCACCCTTTTCTTTTTTATGCAGGTAACTTAAAATATCAGCACAACAACCTATTAGGCCTAGAAAGCCTCTAAACAACATCAGGGGTTAAATGGTCAGTATTCCAGGATGACACCAAATAGTTTTCTTTGAAAATGGTTTTCAGAACCTTGTATCTTGATATTACTTCCCACATGAAATAACTTCTATTGTTGTTTTTTGGTAGATAACGATTCATATAGCCATACAATTTTTTTCAGGTAAGAACAATTTAAAATGCATATATATATATATATATATATATATATATATATATATATATATATATATATATATATATATATATATATATATATATATATATATATATATATATATATATATATATATATATATATTAGCATGCAAAAAAATAAAAATATGTTGTATCCACAAGGGAATTTGTTCCACCTGTATAAATGTATTAATTTAATTTATATCCTAATGACTATAACGTAGTTGAAGTGAATATGAGTATGTGTATGGATGTATGTGTGACTTTGTATGTAGCTTCGTATGCATCTAATATCACTTATAACATGTTACCTAATTAGATAAAGAGTTCATGTATAACAGAATTACATAAACAGTCTCTGTGTACCTTGGTCCACTTACATCCACTCACCTCCTATTTATTTTCTATCCCTGGTTTGTAGTTTTTGTTAAGCCTCCAAACATGCTGGTTTATCAAAGGAATACTCATAGGGGCAAAATGGTCACAACCACAAGTTAGAGCAGATTAGTTACAAATTTGAGGGGACAAAAATTAATTTCTATTTGATGAATTAAAGTTGGTAAAATTTTCTTGTCCACTTTT